CAAGTGTTCAAAGTGAGCATTGGCAGCTCTAAGAGGACTGGCTCAGTGTGTCCCTGGTATGGCATACTGAGAGGGACAGAAGAGCATGTCTTTGATAGTCATATAAAAATGCCGAAGCTCTTTTGTGGAGCCCCTAGCAGTGGGACCAGGTCCTGTCCCTGATGCATGATCTGGCTCTTTGGAACCTACTCCCTATGGTGGGATGCCTTGTTCAGCCTTGGTGCGGAGGGGAGGAGCTTAGTCCTGCCTCAGCGTGATGTGCCAAGGCCTCCCACGGGAGGCCTTACCCCTTCTGAATGGAGATGGAGGAGGAGTGGATGGGGGAGGGGGAAGAGAGAGGGGAGGGAACCGGAGGAGAGGAGGGAGGGGCAACTGTGATTGGTATGTAAAATAAATTTTAAAAAATGATGAAAAAATGTAGAAGCTCAGCTCTACCACAAGGGAGCTTCCAAGAAACTCAAATCGAGGGGCATCCTACAAAGTAAGTGCCTTATAGTCCTCAGAAATGTCCATGGAGTTAAGAGGGGTCTGAAGACAGAACATCACGCATGGCCTGGGACTTTCAAAGGGTGCTACTAGAATGAAGGGTGGGGTTTTGGAATTAGACAGGCAGATCTGTCTCTATTTTAATTTCCCAATTTCAGGAACTGTTCTGCAGCCAGGCAAGAGAATGTTCTTGTCCTCAGCAGATACACACTGGAATGTTTGGAAACAAAAGGGCATTGTGTCAGCATCGACACTGAAATGGCTCAGCAAAATTGTGTGAGTGTGCATGTAGGGGTTAGTTTGTGTGTGAGTGTGCATGTGTGCATGGGTGCATGTGGGGGTTAGTTTATGTGCATGGGAGCATGTGGGGCTTAGTTTGTGTGCATGGGTGCATGTGGGGGTTAGTTTATGTGCACGGGCGCATGTGGGGGTTAGTGTGTGTGCATGGGAGCATGTGGGGCTTAGTTTGTGTGCATGGGTGCATGTGGGGGTTAGTGTGTGTGCACGGGTGCATGTGGGGGTTAGTGTGTGTGCACGGGTGCATGTGGGGGTTAGTGTGTGTGCACGGGTGCATGTGGGGGTTAGTGTGTGTGCACGGGTGCATGTGGGGGTTAGTGTGTGTGCATGGGTGCATGTGGGGGTTAGTGTGTGTGCACGGGTGCATGTGGGGGTTAGTTTGTGTGCATGTGGGGGTTAGTGTGTGTGCACGGGTGCATGTGGGGGTTAGTGTGTGTGCACGGGTGCATGTGGGGGTTAGTGTGTGTGCACGGGTGCATGTGGAGGTTAGTTTGTGTGCATGTGGGGGTTAGTGTGTGTGCATGGGTGCATGTGGGGGTTAGTTTGTGTGCATGGGTGCATGTGGGGGTTAGTGTGTGTGCATGGGTGCATGTGGGGGTTAGTTTGTGTGCATGTGGGGGTTAGTTTGTGTGCACGGGTGCATGTGGGGGTTAGTGTGTGTGCACGGGTGCATGTGGGGGTTAGTGTGTGTGCACGGGTGCATGTGGGGGTTAGTTTGTGTGCATGTGGGGGTTAGTTTGTGTGCATGGGTGCATGTGGAGGTTAGTTTGTGTGCATGTGGGGGTTAGTGTGTGTGCACGGGTGCATGTGGGGGTTAGTTTGTGTGCATGTGGGGGTTAGTGTTTGTGCACGGGTGCATGTGGAGGTTAGTTTGTGTGCATGTGGGGGTTAGTGTGTGTGCACGGGTGCATGTGGGGGTTAGTTTGTGTGCATGTGGAGGTTAGTTTGTGTGCATGTGGGGGTTAGTGTGTGTGCACGGGTGCATGTGGGGGTTAGTTTGTGTGCATGTGGGGGTTAGTTTGTGTGCATGGGTGCATGTGGAGGTTAGTTTGTGTGCATGTGGGGGTTAGTGTGTGTGCACGGGTGCATGTGGGGGTTAGTTTGTGTGCATGTGGGGGTTAGTGTGTGTGCATGGGTGCATGTTGGGGTTAGTTTGTGTGCATGGGTGCATGTGAGGGTTAGTGTGTGTGCACGGGTGCATGTGGGGGTTAGTGTGTGTGCACGGGTGCATGTGGGGGTTAGTTTGTGTGCATGTGGGGGTTAGTTTGTGTGCATGGGTGCATGTGGAGGTTAGTTTGTGTGCATGTGGGGGTTAGTGTGTGTGCACGGGTGCATGTGGAGGTTAGTTTGTGTGCATGTGGGGGTTAGTGTGTGTGCACGGGTGCATGTGGGGGTTAGTTTGTGTGCATGTGGGGGTTAGTTTATGTGCATGGGTGCATGTGGGGGTTAGTGTGTGTGCATGGGTGCATGTGGGGGTTAGTGTGTGTGCACGGGTGCATGTGGGGGTTAGTTTGTGTGCATGTGGGGGTTAGTGTATGTGCATGGGTGCATGTGGGGGTTAGTTTATGTGCATGGGTGCATGTGGGGGTTAGTGTGTGTGCACGGGCGCATGTGGGGGTTAGTGTGTGTGCACGGGCGCATGTGGGGGTTAGTTTGTGTGCATGGGTGCATGTGGGGGTTAGTGTGTGTGCATGGGTGCATGTGGGGGTTAGTGTGTGTGCATGGGTGCATGTGGGGGTTAGTGTGTGTGCATGGGTGCATGTGGGGGTTAGTGTGTGTGTGAGTGTGGCCATGTGTGTATGAATAAAGCAAAGGAGAACTGGTGTAAAACTAGGAGAATCTTAAGAGCTGGGAGAAAATCTTTGTACTAGTTTTTTGACTTTTCTGTAACTAAAAATGTATCAAAATAAAAATCTTAAAAAATAGGTCTTAAAGAGGCTAAAAATTAAATAATTTAAATGTTCAAAAGAAAAATGCTCACTTTTAGTATACATACTGGGAAGGAATTCATAAATTTAGAAACTATATTATGAATAATCCTGAAATGATTACTCAGCTTCCAGATTCCCACATGATTAGTTTGCATTTGCATATATTTTCCTGTAGTTATAGTATACTTTAAATGACAGTTTTGGGACCCCTATGAACTTATTTTTATTTTGTTTTTTGAGAAAGGATCTCCTAGAGTTCAGGCTAGCCTGAAACTCTCTGTGTACCCAAGGCTGCCCTTGAACCCATGATCTTTCTGCCTTAGCCTCCTTCTAGACGCTGGAATTACTCGTTTCATGCGGCAGTTCCCTACTTAGCTTGCAGCATGATAGGTACTATGCCTATCCAAGTCCTCCCTCCTAATTCTCACAGTGATGCAGAGAACGCCACTCACTTTACAGCTGGGGACAATGATCCAGTGTGTGTAAACTACTGAACGCAGGTGCTTGGTCAGTCAGCCGCTGAGGCTGGGTGAGAGTATGATGCACCAAGTCCAAGCCTTTAATTTTAAGAGACCTTTTCCTTTCTTTCCTTTAAAAAATAAAGAAAAATAAATACATTTATTTGAGACACAGTCTTACTATGCATCTTTGGTGTCCTGGAACTGGCTATGTAGACCAGCCTAGCCTCAAACTCAGAGATTTGCCTGTGTTTGCCTCCTGAGTGCTTGGATTCAAATAAAATTACACCATCCCTCAAACTCATGGCCCTTTATTTTACACACACACACACACACACACACACGTACGCACGCACGCACGCACGTTCTCACACTATATACATATATGTATGTGCATACGAGCTCAGGTGCCCATGGAGAGCATGGTGTTGGATTGCCTGAAGCTGAAGTAAGAACCTGATGTGAGCCACCACCTGGCATAGCTGCCGGAAGTTGACTTTGGGTTAGGTGCAAGAGCAGGGCAAACTCTTAACCTCTGAGCCGTCTCTCCAGCCTTCCTCCTACTCTTCTTTTTGAGACAAAGTTTTACTAGGTAGCCCAGGTGACCTGAAAGTTGCAGTGAGGTCACACTAGCACTGAAATCACAGCAATTGTCCTGCCTCGGCTTCCCAAGTGTTATGATCACAGGTGGGTGCCACCATGCCCAGCTCTAATGTTATTATTCCCCTGAAGCTTGATCCTGCCAGCAGCGACAGCTCTTCTTTCTAGTTGACTTAGAACTGGGCCAGAGGATCTCAGGATGCCCAGACACAGAAAGACCATGAGATATCTTAAATGTGTGACCACATTTCTACTCTCTAGAATTCAACTCCTTAAGGCAAACTGGCAACTACTGCCCAGAATTTACTGGCTTTTCAGACACTCCCCAGCAGAAGACAGGCTTAACAGAACTCTGCTGTTTGCCAAGAGAGGACAGAATGAAGTGAGTGTCCCAGCCCACAGACTGTTGTGTGCCCATCCCATCACAATGTGTGCATGTGCTCAGCCATGCTGGCCAGTGGCATGTGTGCCTGTGTGGGGCAGATACTCACCACAGATGAAGCATGTCGTCTTTAAGATCTCCTCCTTCTTCTGCTTCTCACTCCTCAGGTCAGCAAAGGTGTCAATGATGACCCCAAAAATCAGGTTCAGGACGATGATGATGACCATGAAGAAGAAGAGCAGGTCGTAGATTACCCTTGCAGCAAACAGAGGCTCCTGTAGACGAGAGATGTCACACTCAGGCAGGGTCCCCATTGCCCTTTACTCTGAAGAGGTCAGAGCCCAGCTCCAGGTGGACAGATGTCCACTTGGGCGGGAGTTACATTGGGCATCAAATTTTAAAACCCCAAACTATGTCTCTTTTTGATCCCCTGGATCTATGCTGTGAATTCTCCCAGTGCCGGGGGAACACAACCAGGAAGGGTCTGTGAGTGTGTTGGGGTGGCCAGGCCAATGTTACAGCAGAGCCTTAACGTGCCTTAGTGGGCATGTGTGGGGAGGGGCGCCGACTAACTTCTGCACAATGGCTTGTCACACTCCCAGATCATCTTCCACACTGACAGTTTACACTCAGCACCACCACAGTGCACCCCCACTGCCCGCCTCCACGCACCCCTGTGCCCTTTCTTTCCCTTGGGATCCGTTCACCTCTTTGGATGGCTTCCTGAGCACATCTCCTACTCCGCCCCCACTTCGCAGCCCGTGACTCAGAACGGTGACGATGCACATGAGCAGCGTCTCACACGTGTGCTCCTTCTCCTGTTCCGTTTCTTCCACAGGGAGCAGCTCTGTGAGCAGGGCAAGTCATAACACAGTTAAGACAGGAGGGGGAAAGAGATACTGTGATTCTACAGTGATGTTTCCCAAATGCCATCTCTCCAGCTGCCAGGCCCGAGAAATAAAACCAAGGAATTAAGAGTCAGATGTGTGCTATAAGAATTCAAACAGTGCTGTTCCCACTATGAAACCCTGCTAACTAACTTCTCAAGCCATGTCAGCACTGTCTACAAAGCTTCATACATCCCCTATTTGTGAAAATGTTCCACTGTCGTCCTACCTGCAAACAGAATAGTCTTCGGCCTAGACTGACAAGAAGGCATCTTGCTTCTCAGGTGGGTATCTGCCAGGTCCCCAACTGGGCATGCTCAAACGACAGACGCATGGCTGGATCTTACAGTGGGGTCGTGGCATCCATGGCTTTGCATTGGAGGCTGTTTGCCCCACTCTGCATCCGGCCTCGCTACCCTCTCGCTGCATTGCTAAACCAAGGTCTCCCTCTTAGTCTTTCGTTTTTATTTGTCTACTTTGTACTACTAGAGACTGAATCCAGGCAGGGCCTCACTCATGCTAGGCAAATGCTCTCCCACTGAGGGAAACTGCCAGCATCGCCCCACTGCTGTAGCTTCTGGTCATCCATTGACATTTCACCTGTGTAGCTTGACATGAGACCTATCAAGAGTCTTTCTGGGCAATGGAGAGATGGCTCAGTGGTTAAGAGCACTGACTGCTCTTTCAGAGGGCCTGGGTTTAATTCCCAGCACCCACATGGCACCTCACAACTGTCTGTAATTCCAGTTCCAGAGGACCTGACACCTAGGGAATAGCACCAATGCATGTAGAATAAAAATTACTATTTTTTAAAAGAGTCTTTCTGGAATCATCTCTTGCTGCTTTCTCCTTGCACACGACTATTATCTCTTTGAAGGAGTTTTACCATACAGCCTTTAGGGTACCTTCCTCCCCTCCTTTGCTTAAGAATCCTCAGTTTCTGCTGTGGCGCCTTTACCTCAATTCTCTGCTGGCTGCCTATCTTCTAAATGGCATCCTTACTGAGGCAGCATTTGGCTCTGAGGTCCCTCATTTACCCGTCTCCCTCTGGCTCCACTGCCATTTCCCACAGAACCACATGGGCTCTGTCCACAGTGGGCGCTCAAATCTGCAGCTTGTTTTTTCACACGTGGCTTCCTTTCCTGTCCATCTCTCTCGCTCTTCCAATGTCCCCCCTGTGCTGCTGGCCTCACTCCCAAGCGGTATTTCTGCTTTACTCTGCTCCAACACCACCTGCCTCACCTAAGTCGCCAAAGGAGTCTGATATTCACCTGGGGCTGGTGGCCATGCGGTCTTACCTTCTTTGGGTGCAGGAGAGGTACAGTTCTCCCCCGTCTCCACCCTGCACACATCCGAGTACAGGAAATCGTTTGCCAAACTCTCACCAGTTTCTGGGAAAGAGAAGGGAGTTTTGTGATGAACAATCTGGCAGCATATGGTTAAAATGTTTGAAGTCCCCAGTTCACGGCTGATTAAACAATCCTTTACATAAATAACACCCTCCAATACTGCATATAAATTCAAAGCACAGATGCAATTTACACGTTTATTTGGTGAGTTGGATGGGAAAAAAGCCAGAAACGTCAAGTTCTGTAGGCTTACTAACAGTATCACACTTAAATAGCACCTCTCCGACTTTAAAGACAAACATCTGAAACTCTAAGAGAAATACTATTGGGTGTACAGATTCCGGCAAGATCTGGATCATGCCTGCGCGGAAAGCAACGTGGGCATGAACAACACCTCAAGGTCTAGGCTGGTTTAGTTCAGAACCTGAAGGCAGGTGGCATTAAGTGCCACTTGGTGTCAAGTGAAGACTGAAGTTACACATCAAGATATACAACTCAGGGAGAAGGCAGCCATGCGTGGTGTGTCATAGCTGGTCTAGTATGTTACAACGACTCAGCCTGGCTACCTTTAACCAGGCGCTACTCACTAAGCATTGGCAGCTATTCTGAGAAAGAACACATAGGTATCATTTAAATATTGATCATTGTTTATCATTTGCAAATAGGAAATCACTTCCAGTTTTGTTATATATACACAGGAGCTCATTGTAAAACACATTTTTTTTTTCAAACAAGCTGGCAGTGTGGGTCTGCCTGTCCACATTAAATACACAGATATTAATCATAGCACTTGGGTGGTAGAGGCAGGAAGATAAAGAGTTCAAAGTCATCTTTGGCTACACAGTGAGATCAAGGCCAGCCTGAGCTCTATGATGCCCTATCTCATAAAATTCCAAACACAAAACAATATAAAAATGTTTCAATTAAGAGTGTGATCTTACGCCGGGCAGTGGTGGCACACGCCTTTAATCCCAGCACTCGGGAGGCAGAGGCAGGTGGATCTCTGTGAGTTCGAGGCCGGGCTGGACCGATAGCCTCCAAAACAATACAGAGAAACCCTGTCTCGTAAAAACCAAAAACCAAAAAAAAAAAAAAAAAAAGAGTGTGATCTTACTATTGTTATTCTGTGTTTTCTCATGTTATCAGTGTCTGTCTGTAAAGGTTTATAAGATTCATCCTATGTGTGGGGTACTCCACCTCACAGATGGACCACAATGCAGTGGAATGGCCTGTTATACCAGATTGCTCCCCCTTTCACATTGCAGTGAACATCACCTTTTGAATAACATGAGAATGACCTGAATTCATACTTCATATTCTGGTGTTATGGAGATATTTGTCTGCTAATGTCATGTATTTACTCCAATCCAGTTATAATCCTGTTAACATTTAAAAAGACTAGAGGATCCCAAACCCACCTGGAAGAGCTGTTTCATTGGGCAACTTGTCTACTTCCAAGATAAAGTCATCCTTGAAGAACAGATAGCCCACTATTGAGAAGAGGTAAACCAGGATCAGAGCCAGGACCGCTGTCAAGATGATGGACCGTCCATTGCGGGTGACACTTTTAATGACATTAAGCAAAGTCTCCTCTCTGTACACTAAATCAAAAAGCTTCAAAAAAACAAGATGATAGAACAATTTTTAAGAAGCCTGTGTTTAGGTTTATGTCAACATCATTTACTCTCTTGAAATTCAGAATCATTCTATAATTTTAACACATAACATGTTGCCTGTCTTCACAGTGAGAACTGAGATGGTAAAAATGAGGAAAAATAAACATAGAAGAGGAGGTGGCAATCAGTACCAACTTCAAACAGCACACAAAACAGGTTAGAGGTTCCAGAAATAGACACAGGAGTTTCAGAGAACAAGTCGGGGGGAGTATTGAGGGTCTTGGCATCCATCCATTTAGAATCTAATTCCTGAGCTTTTCCAAAGGACCAGCTACTTTGGTACCTGCCTGACTCCAGGAAGTGCAGTATCTAGTGGTGAAAGCAGGCACGTTAACAAGCTAGTGCAAATTGCAAAATCCCTGAGCTGCTGAGCCTCACATCTTAGTTCAGCTACTGATAGTCACTGGGCTTTGTTCTGTCCCGTCCCTAGCTTCAGTTTCATTTGTAGACTGGAGGATCAACTTCCTGATGAAGATACTGGAGTAGAGTCACATAGTACAGTTGTAAGGATGTCTACAGTAGTGACTTACCAGGAAGCCTAACCCCTGAATCTCCTCCCCTAGTATATAAGAGACCCCTGAAGGTTACACTGGGTTAGGCCTGACCCCTAACTAAGGGACATGCTGTCTACATGAGGAAGGCAGGATCCTTGAATGTCCATGTTGACATTAGAGAATCACAGGTACATTGTCATGAAGTAACCACAACAATTTGGCAGGGGAGCAACTAGAAGAGTGCTCTGGGATAACTCCTGGACCTAGAAATTTTTATTATTATTTATTTATTTAAATTAGAAATAATCTTATTTTATATATCAATCCCAGTTCCCTCTCCCTCCCATCTTCCTATGCCCCCACCAACCCCCCACCCCACCCCCTTCTGCTCTCCAGGGAGGGTGAGGACTTCCATGGGGGATCATCAGAGTCTGTCACATCATTTGGAGCAGGCCTAGGCCCTCCCCAGTGTGTCTAGGCTGGGAGAGTATCCCTCTATGAAGAATGGGCTAATTCATTTGCATTGATATTTTGCCTGCATGTATATCTGTGTGAGGGTTTCAGGTCGTGGAGTTAGAGACAGTTGTGTAGCTGCCATGTGGGGTACTGGGAATTGAGCCTCAGTCTGCTGAACGAGCAGTCAGTGCTCTTTACCGCTGAGCCATCTCTCTAACCCTTATTATTACTTTTTTAAGATGGAGTCTTCCTATGTTGCCCATGTTGTCAACACACTTTTCATTCTCCTGCCTCAGCTTTTTGATCATTTAGGATTATAGACACAGGCTGCCAGGCCCGGCTGAAGGGGCAGCGTTTTGTTTTGTTAATTAATGTGCCCTCTGTCCTCCTGTCTAGACAGCCCTGAAAGACTTGGTCTTCACTGTGGCTCTGGTAACTGCACAGTGAAGTTAGTCATGGGGAAAACACTGGGGCTCTAGACTCTGCTTTAGATTTACAGAAGATGCTGACTGAGCCTCTCAGGACCTTGTCTCCTCATCTGTAAAATGAGTGCATGGAAATGACTGATCTCTCAATGTCTTCCAGTTTAGAATTTTATATCTGAGGTCATTTTCTGGTCAATTAACTTCTCTTCCCCCCACCTAACTCCAATGTTTCCTAAAAGTGGGTGGAGTATGACCCTTCAAAGGAAGCCAAGAGGTAGCATTCAATCCACAAAGAGAATTAAAGACAGTTGCTCTTAGCATTGGTTCAATGTTGTTTAGCATCATAGTCTGAAGTACTAAGAGAATGTCACACAATGAACCAAGAGTTCTGAGGGCAGGGCCACAGATACACTACAGATCAAACCATAGAAGACTCTTAGGTTTTTTTTTTTGTGTTTTTTTTATAACTAATTTTGAATTTGAAACAAAAATTGACCCATGTTCAAAGTAGAAAATTTGGAAAAGATAGAGTACAAAGAAAAAAGCAAATAATGCCATCATCTGCAGACATCTATCCATGTTATTCCCTTCTTAAACATATAATGTATACATATTATTAAAATATTGTAATAATGACACATATAGCCACTCTCATGAGTGTTCAGGAACATTTCATGTCAATATGATCTCCTAGTAGTATATGGAAAGAATACATACAATATCAGTTTCTGATTAGTCAAGATGTTTTCAATTGTGTTATCAGAATTGCTGTTGTGATGAATATCTCTGGATATGTCTGTATACACACCTGTCTACTTATAGCTTTCTAATTTCCTAAAACCAATTCAAGCATGCTATATCAATTTATATTTAGTAAATAAAAATTTATAATCATTGTGTCCCCAAAGCTACCAGACCAGGAATTATTATGCTTTTTAACCTTTTCTCAAGTGACAGGTTAAACTCAGAACACCATGGATGTTTTAATGAGCTTGTTTTGGTTGAACACTTAGGGATGAACATGTCTTCATGTTTAGTGACCGTCTGGAGTCCCCATTCTGTCACCTGCTGCTTATGAACTTCGTACATTTTCATCTCAGGTGTTAATATTTTCTTAAGAATACAACTAGAACACAGACTTGAGGCCAGGTTCCGATAGTCTCTGGGAGGCCATGGCACTTTAATTAGGCCAAGGGATCATTGTCCCATCTACTTCTCCTCCTGGGTTGTCTAAGATGAGGGACGAAGCTCTGTCTACTGGGGGGCGGGGGTACTAGATTTCTCTGCTGGAGGCCTCTTTGTGTTGAACATGGGGGGGTTTGCTTTCTTTGTGGGACAATTTGAACAGCTTCAGTATTGTGTTTTGAGTTCTCACAGGACATATTTAGTTTTCTTTGGACAAGAAAAGGAGCTCACAGGCAAGCCAAGACTCAGAGAACCCCTAGAAGCACACAGGAAGCATTCACCATGATCTAGACTGACTCCACTGTGCTTCTATGCTAAGGAGGCGGGAGTTTTGAAAGCACAGGCGTGAACTGTAGTATGACATGCCAGTTTCACAGAGGCACAGGCTTATCCATGCTCTCAAGATGAATGTGGTTTGGACTTGGGGGCTCAACCTAACTGTGATTTAGGGCAAGAGTTACCTAACCTTACCATGCCTCATAATCCTCAGATGGGAACTGAAGACGTCATCACCTCAAAAGTAGGGTGAGAGTGTGGGAAAAGCATGTACTTGCAAAGAGGTAGCAGCTACCGTTTTGTGGCTGGTGAGGCTGTGAGGTAAGGAGTGTTCATGTCATCCTACTCTGTCCCTTGCATTTTGGAAGGGCCCTGGCTGGTTCCACAAATGACTCAAAAGAAAGGATGCAAATGAAGACAAGGAAACAAGATCAGCAGGAGGGAGACAGCAGGGAGAGCTATACTCCCACAGGGAGAGATGGCATGGGTCACAGGCAAGTCTGTCTCTTGGGAGAGAGAGACCCCCATGAGTAGGAACAAAAGAGAGGCCCCACTGATCTCTGTCCCTCAACCTAGGACAGACAGGAGTTTGCTGGACTGGTGGATGTAGGTCTCCTTGACTCACAGGCTGGAACTCTGTCTAGGGATGTTCTTGCGTGACACAGAAAGGTTCCAGAATAGATGCAGGGCTCTAAAGATTTCTAATGTAGAATGACCAAAATAGGCCACATAATGGCACTCACAAGTATATCCTGCACCCTCTTTGCCTAAAACCTCAAAGTATAGTCATAGAGATTCTGAAACTGGAGAAAATAATCCATTCCATTTAACTTGCCAGCATCTACCACTAATGGAATGAGCTAATCCTGGTGAATTCTTTATGATATTTTGTGTGAAGACAAGAACAGAGGACGACAAAGATAAGAATAGGTAGGCATCGTGTGGCTCTGCTTCTCTGGGGTGCTGACATGAAGAGTTGCATATGAGCCAAACAGTGTCCCTGCCAGGGAAACACATCCTTGTCGCTTGTTGCTTGTTAGTGAGGAACGGAAGACAAAAGCAAGCAGCTCAACCTTACAGATGGCACTTCCTTAAAGACTTTGCCATCTACCCTTTCTAAATCCCTCCCCCTCCCTCCCCCTCTCTCCCTCCCTCCCCCTCCCTCCCCCTCTCTCCCTCCCTCCCCCTCCCTCCCTCTCTCTCTCCCTCCCTCCCTTCATTTGTTAAGCCAATACTGAGGCCTTGGACATTCCTGATCTTCATATGTTTATATTTCTTGTATTTTCACCATAGTTCAAGTTTATGCTTCCTGCCATGTTACATAGGTACAATGAAATTTCTTACCTCCAACTTTATAGATCTAGGTTTCCTCTGACTACAGGACAGAAATCATTATTTCATTTGTAACTTAATCTGCTCCCAAGAAAGGGGACAGAACCAACTCACAGACTGTCAAGGCCTTAACCACCTGGCTCCATGGGAACAAGATCACTTTTATCTAACAAGCTCATTATCATGGGTCCTGGGGCTTTACATCTTACTCCTACCTTGGTCCTTACATAGCTTCATTGAGAAACAGATTCCAGGGGACTGTAGATGATAGTGTCAAACACATCCCTCTTAGCAAGTGCTGCCCAAGTCAGACAACAGTCACATATATAGAAAACATCTGAACCACATGGACACCTCTTCCATGAGTGTTAACTACAGGTGTGCACCACACAGGACCCAATGGGACTATGTACTGTCAGGTTCCCAGGAGCTGCCTTGTTTCCTATGTCATTTTTCTCTCAGATCCTCCTAAGACTGGATGCAGGTAGGGCTTAACATTATAGGACCAGGCTCACTGGCTGCTATTAGAAGGTGGGGTCTATGATAAGAGATGACTCAGTTCTCCGGGTGTGCAGTATGTGAACATCTGGCACTCACCAACAAACTATAGAAGAACTCATGTACGAAGAGGCCCATGGCACAGATCAGCAGATACAGCAAATGATAGAGGAACTCAACATCCAGAACCATGGCTCGGTAGCCTCTGGTGAATGTCCCACAGTTGCCCACAAAGCTCATCAGAAAGATAATTTTATTGCAGACCTGAGAACAGATGGTGGAAGGAAGAGTCAGACGGT